TCTCCTGTGTTGGCATAGGTTTAAATATTTTACGTTACAAATCAAGTGAGTTTTCCCAGATGAACGTTAAGCAACACTCACCGCATATGCAGAGGAAGAGTTTAGCCCCTGTCACACATACAGACTTTACTGGTAAATTACCGTTAAGAGATCACATGTGAACAGGACCTTTTCAAAAATCCCGGTAAATTTGTTCTGGCCTTCACTGGTAAATTACCGTTAAGAGATCATACAGGACCTCCGCTGCTTTTTTAATAGCTTTTCTATGTAAATATGATGCTAGATGGAAATCTTTGACCATTGCACCTCGCAGCTTTTTCAATGTGTCGCGCTCGAGACCCAGGCTTCCTTTCCATTCATCAGCTGCGACTATTGGATATATTATGCGCGTCTCGTGTTTATAAGAGCAACAACTTCTGATTGGCTAATAATGTTAGTTTGGTTGAGAGTGAAAGCTGTGTTCCTCTCATACATTGGTAGGCGAACTCGTGAACTCGAACGTGATATCAATAAGTGTTTTTAAATGTAGGACGACTATCTCTGCCCCCCCCCCCCCCCAAACACAGCACACCGGAGATCCAGCACGGTGCCGGAGAACTTTAAGCCCTGCTAATGAGGACTTGCTTGTTTTGAAATAATGTTTTGAATTATTTTATTAGTTAACGCCGCACGCCGGAGATCCGGCACGGTGCCGGAGAACTTTAAGCCCTGGATTCAATAACTCCAATTAAACAGCATTCTATTTCTGTATTAATATTTCTATGATGTATATTATATGCATAGTATTTGTAATATTTATAATTTAAATATATACACTACTAGTTACAACTTTTTGAACAGTAAGATTTTTTTTAATGATTTTTAAAGAATCTTCTTTTGCTCACCAAGCCTGCCTTTATGTGATCAGCAAAAACAGTAAAATTGTAAAATATTTGTATTATTTAAAATAACCGTTTACTATTTGAATATATTTTAAAATGTAATTTATTCTTGTGATTTCAAAGCAGAATTTTCAGCATCATTACTCTTCTTCAGTGTCACATGACCTTCAGAAATCATTCTAATATGCTGATTTGCTGCTCGAGAAACATTTCTGATTATTATTATTATTATCAATATTTAAAACAGTTGAGTACATTTTTTCAGGATTCTTTGATGAATATGCAGATCCAAAGATCAGCATTTATCTTAAATAAAAAGCTTTTGTAACATTATACACTATACCATTCCCAAGCTTGGAGTCAGTACAATTTTTTTGGGGGGTGGGAATTATAGATTATAGAAATTAATACTTTTATTTAGCAAGGATGCTTTAAATTGATCAAAAGTGACGATAAAGACATTTATAATGTTACAAAATATTTCTATTTCAGATAAATGCTGTTCTTCTGAACTTTGTATTCATCAAAGAAACCTCAACAAATTCTACTCAGCTGTTTTCAACATATTTCAAATATTTTTAAGCAGCAAATCAGAATATTAGAATGATTTCTAAAGGATCATGTGACACTGAAGACTGGAGTAATGATGCAAAAAAAAATTCAGCTTTGAAATCACAGGAATAAATTACATTTTAAAATATATTCAAATAGAAAACAGTTATTTTAAGTAGTTCAAATATTTACAAAATTATACTGTTTTTGCTGTACTTTGGATCAAATAAATGCAGGCTTGGTGAGCAGAAGAGACTTCTTTAAAAAACATTAAATCTTAAACTTTTGACAAGTGGTGTATATTCACAATATTATGATTAAACAATATTAATATTAAATTATTATTATTATTATATCTATATATTAACAGAAAAATAATAACATTCAAAATAGCAACAGAACTGTAAGGCTATAGCAGCACAAACACAGGGGCTAAACTGGAATGCTTTATTTGAATGGTTTAGGGCTTCAGATGACTAGGAGTAACAGTACTGCTGATGCTTGACTTAGCAAACACTGACAATAAAATGGCCGAAGGTCTTAAATTGATCATGTAGAGGAGGGTTTCACTGTAAACCAGCCGAGCACGTCTCTACATATTGGTTCAAGAGCTATTCTGCAGTAATTTCCCTAGAGAAAACCATTTTGTGATGTCTATATTTTCAGCCGACAGCTTCTCTGGATTATTTCTCCCTTTGGTGGATAAACAAATACCCAGCAATATTGACATACTCAACTCACGTATGTAACCCCATGCAAACATGAGAACACATGCACACAGTCCCCACCAGGATATATAAACTTGTACACACACACACAAACACACACACACACACACACACACACACACACACACACACACAGAGACA